AAAAAAAGGTGGGGGGAGGGAGTGGCCTAGAACCATTCTCCACAAAGTAAGCACTTAATACTTTCTTTTTAAATCTGCACAAAAGCTGAGATTCTCCCAAGAGCCAGTGGGCAGGGAACCAGAGGGTCACAAATGTAGCTTCCCTCCCCTGGGTATGAAAATGGAGGTGGAGCAGGTAGTGTCAAGAGGCCAGGACTGGCTGGGCGCGGTGGCTCATGCCTATAATCTCAGCACTTTGGGAGGCTGGGGCAGGAGGATCACCTGAGGTCAGGAGTTCAAGACCAGCCCGGCCAACATGGTGAAACCCCGTTTCTACTAAAAACACCAAAAAATTAGCCAGGTATGGTGGCACATGCCTGTAATCCCAGCTACTTGGAAGGTTGAGGCAGGAGAATTGCTTGAACTCAGGAGGCAGGGGTTGCAGTGAGCTGAGATTATGCTATTGCACTCCAGCCTGGACAACAAGAGAGAAACTCCATTTCAAAAAGAGAGAGAGAGAGAGAGAGAGAGAGAGAGAGAGAGAGCGCGCAGGACCAAGTGTCAGCGTGGCAGGGCCTAAGGGAAGGCCAAGAGGGAACTGGGGGACCACACGTGGGTAGCCTGCTAGGTGGGGAACAGGGGCAGCTGGGGCTGTGGGGAGGTACCTTTCTACTTTCTAACACCAAGGGAGGCGGGACCAGGGAGGAGGCTGCAGTGAGGCAGAGAACAGCAGGTCCCGGGTCAGGGCTAACCAGCAAGCCTGCTGGAAGAAGGACAAGCAGCCTGGAGCGGACATGAGCCTCCTCTCCCTGCAACGTGCGTGAGTGGAGGCTGGGGAGCCCCCCTGTGACAGCAACAACACATACAGGACGTCTCCTGGGCCACAGGGCACACAGTTCTCCCAACAACCCTAAAAGGCAGATCCCATAAGGATCCACGTTTACAGACGAGGAAGTTGAGGCAGAGAGAGCGGCAGTGTGCAGGATGACATAGCTAGGGAGGGGCAGAGCTAGGATTTGAACCTGGGCCGTTAAGCTCCAGCATCTGAACTCTTCACCACCAAGGTAGACAGCAGATGCTGGAAAGCGATCTGTGCTCCTCGGAGTCATTCCCGCTGCTGGGATTTTGGGCTCCGAGTGCAGAATTCCAGGTGCCACCTTCCCAGCCTCGGGCTGAAGCTTGCAGGTACACACAGGTGTGTGCAGAGGAGGGTCCTCTCAGGTGCCTCCACCTGCGCTTCTGCCTTTGCAGCCTCTCTCCATCTCCACCCTTCTACCTGTCCTGAAGCCGGAACCCCCACATCTTCCCCGGGCTATGCATCCTGTGCTCAACCGCAGGTCCATGTCCGCTAACTCCTACGCCGTTTCTCTAACCCAATAGCCTCCTTTTCTGACTCCAAACCCTTATCCACGCTATTTCTCCTACGCGAAACCCCCTTCAGGCATCCTGGCAGCAAACTTCTGCATGATGTTCCATTAAGCTTTCTCGTCTGGCCCACCCTCCAGGGGTCCCCCTCTATGACCCCTGCTTCCCCACACTAATGCACTTATCAACCCCCCCGGGCTGCAGTTCCTGTGGGCACCGAGGCTCCCATCCTATGTACCAGCCAGCCCCTAGAAGTGCTAGGCCAGGTAACAGCAGCTGAATGAATGAAGGGCTTATTGTTTACATTTATAGCAGATGGGAAAGAGGCTTCTGGAGCAAACACGTGGTGCTCCCCGCCCCTTCCTCCTCCTCCTCTGCCCACAGCCTAGGCCACCCCCACCCACCTCTATACACCATCGTGCAAGAGTGAGGGCAGCCCCCTTCATCCCAGACCCCCACTTCTCACCCAGAAGGGAGAGGAGGGGTCTCGGACTTTGGGGAACACACTGCTGGGTGGGTGATTTCAAGGTGCTCTCTCTGCTCGTCCTTCCCAGGGTAGCGCTGGGGCCTGCGTGGCAGTGCCCAGTGGGCACCCGCTCGGCCCAAGCTCCGCCTGAAAGGTCCAAACGGGCGGGCCCTGGAGGCTTGGCCAAGCATCCTCCGAGGCCACCGCCCCTCCCCGGGAGGAAGGCAGAAAATCTGCTGCCTCACCAGGCACCGGCGCCAGCTTGGGGGGGCACCCCTGAGGGAAGCCGCCTGCCTCAATCTCCTCCTACCCCTCCTCAGCCATGCACTTCAACCAAGTTTTGCAAAGGGCATCTGCCAGGCGACCCCAGAGGGTGTAGCAGGGAGGAGCCGAGGAGTCCCTGATCTCCCAGACCCCAGGTTTGGAGATGGGGGCTGCATGGCCGCGCCCACCAGGCTGTGCCCTCCCGGCAACGCGTCCAGCCGTCTTGCTCTGCCCTTGGGAGGGGGGTCGGGCGGTCCCCCAACAGATGGACTAAAGCCCCGTCCGTGGGTGGGGACCCCGATGAGGCTGCTGATGCCTTCACCAGGGGGACTCGCAGCCCGGGAATCGCCCCCAACCCTGGCACCCCAGCAGCGCCCCCTCCTCTCCTGCAAGCGACGGGGAAGTTGGGGCGCACCCCAGCCAGCTCCCGCCCACGCCCACCGGCCGGCCTCGAACCCTCCCGCCCCTGCCCACGCCCCGACAATGCCTCCGGGCCGGCCGCCCCGCCGCCCCCCGCACCTCTCCGTCCTTTGTTGCCCGCGCGACCCCCGCCTCGGGCCCCTCCGGCGGCCCCTACCTTCGCCCCTCCAGCGTCAGGCTCAGCGTCGGGAGGCCCGGAGAGCCCCGGCCTCCTCCTCTCGGGCCCGGGCGCGCAGGGGGCGAGGATGCTGCGGCCCCTCCCTGCGCGGCGCTGCCCACGGCTGCACCCCCTCCTGGCGTCGGGGATCCCCGCAGTCGGCGCTCGGGGCCCGGGCCTCGCGCCCCGTCTCCGGGAGGGCGGGAGGCGCGCACCGAGGCCGCCGGGCAGCCGCCTGCGCGCCCCGCGGCCGAGCCGAGCCGAGCGCCCGCTGAGCCAGCGGAGCCAGCGGAGCCAGCGGCCGGGCTCCGGGAGGGAACAAAAGGGGCCGGCGCTGGGGCGGGCGCGCGAGGGCGGGGCCTGGGGCGAGTGGGGGCGGGTCAGGCGCGCGCGGGCGGCCTTGCGATTCTCAGGCCCCGGCTCCGCGCAGAAAGCGGGCGGGCGGGCGGAAACGCGGAGCCGCCTAGTCCCCCTCACCCCCGTCCAGCCCCTTCCCTTCCCAGGCCGCAGCTGTCATTGGTGGAGCGTCGGGGATTCGCCCACACCCACCTCCGCGCTGGGCACCTGGTTCCGCTTGCATCGCGTTTGGTGAAACGCATCCTCCAGCCATGCCATGCTTGCAAAAATGTCTCGGGTCTTTGGGAGGGACCGCAGCTTGGGAAGGTGAGATGCTGTTGGCGCTGGGCAGAAAGGGATGAGAAGGGGAAGGTGCAGCTGGGGCGAAAACTTAAGGTCTGTGTCGGGGCCAGCGTGGGTCGGGAGCTGCGGCATAGGGTCTCCTGGTTATCAAGGATCTCATAGCCTGGGCAGTGGCTCACGCCTGTAATCTCAGCACTTGGAAAAGCCAAAGCGGGCAGATCGCTTGAGGCCAGGAGTTCGAGACCAGCCTGGGCAACATAGTGAGACTTCCATCTCTACAAAAAGTACAAAAATTAGCCGGGTGCACGCCTGTGGTCCCAGCTACTCGGGAGGCTAAGGTGGGACTATCACTGGAGCCCAGGAGGTCGAGGCTGCAGTGAGCCGTGATGAAGCCACTGTCCTCCAGCGTGAGCAACAGAGTAAGACTCTGTCTCAAAAAAACAAAAAACCGCTGGGCTTGGTGGCTCAGGCCTGTAATCCCGGCACTTTGGGAGGCCAAGGAAGGCGGATCACAAGGTCGGGAGACCAGTGTGGCCAACATGGTGAAGCCCCATCTCTACTAAAAATACAAAAAATTAGCTGGGCATGGTGGTGCATGTCTGTAGTCCCAGCTACTCAGGAAGCTGAGGCAGGAGAATCACATAAACCCGGGAGGTGGAGGTTGCACTGAGCCAAGATCGTGCCACTGCACTCCAGCCTGGGCAACAGAGTGAGACTTCATCTCAAAAAAAAAAAAAAAAAAAAAAAAGGATCTCATGGTGATTGGCTCCCAAGATACAAATGAACCCTCCCCAGGACAGGATGCATCTACTGCTATTTCAGAGGAGTTCAGACAGCTTCCAGGTGTCCTCCTGGGTGGAGAGACAGATGCCAAGTGACAGCTCAGGAACCAAGCAGTGACCAAACCCCAACACCCGTCCGTCCGTGACCAGGCTGCAGTGGGCTTCTGTGGCTTGGTCTCCCTCTGTCTCCCCTTGATAAGCTAGCCTGGACGCCTTTGACCTTCCTGGCTGTTCTGCCACTCCTGCCCTGCCCACTTTCTCTGTTTGACAAATCATACTTCCCCTTCAAAGCAGAGCTTAAATGTCCCCGCTTTTCCCTTCAGTGCAGGGATGTGGGTGTTGGGGGAGGTTGTGGTCCGTATGGCGAGACCACTGTTCTGTGGCAGGGAGGTGCCACATATGATCTTGTTCTTATCCCCTAAGGGACCCAGTGCAATTCTTAGCAGAGGGTAGACATCCAGTAATATTTGTTGAATGAATGAATGAACTTCGCAAGTCAGCATTACCACCCCTCAACTGTCTTGGTATCCATAATCTTTGAGAAATGAGTGAAGCTCTCTTTTTTTCCCCTTTTTTTGAGATGGAGTCTCGCTCTGTTGCCAGGCTGGAGTGCAGTGGCTCAATCTCAGCTCACTGCAACCTCCGCCTCCCAGGAGTGAACCTTTTCTTAGAGAAGAGATCTCACTCTGTCACCCAGTCTGGAGTGCCATGGCGTGATCATAGCTCACTGCAGCCTCAGACTCCCAGGCTCAAACGATCCTCCTGCCTTGACCTACAGAGTAGCTGGGACTACAGACATGCACCACCACGCCCAGCTAATTTTTGTACTTTTTATAGAGCTGGGGTCTCATTATGTTGTCCAGGCTGGTCTCAAACTCTTGGCTTCAGATGATCCTCCCACCTCGGCTTCCCAAAGTGCTGGGATTACAGCTATGAGCCACCATGCCTGGCCTGAACCTTTTGACCTCAGTTTCCCCATTTCTAAATTGGGGAGAGTGTTTCAATTCAGTTCAACAAACATGCGATGCTGTCATGATGGAGGCTGGGTATGGGGTCAGCCCTGAGGAGGTGCCCAGTTGATGTGGGGGAACCAGACTTGGAGGCCAAAAGGGGAAGAGGTTCAGAGTGAGCTCCAGGAAGACTGGGCTTCTGTGGGAGGTGTGAACCCAGGGGAGGGTGGGGTCTCAGGGTGCAGCGGGCAGTGTTCAGGAAACAGGGAGCTAATTGTTCTTTCTTGGCTGGGATTCATGACCTGTATATTAACAGATATAACCTGGCCGGGCGCGGCGGCTCACACCTGTCATCCCAGCACTTCGGGAGGCTGAGGCTGGCGGATAACCTGAGGTCAAGAGTTTGAGACAAGCCTGACCAACATGGTGAATCCCCATCTCCACAGAAAATACAGAAATTGGCCGGGTATGGTGGCTCACGCCTGTAATCCCAGCACTTTGGGAGGCTGAAGCGGGTGAATCATGGATCACAAGGTCAGGAATTCAAGACCAGCCTGGACAACATGGTGAAACCCCGTCTCTACTAAAAATACAAAAATTAGGTGAGTGTGGTGGCACATGCCTGTAGTCCCAGCTACTCAGGAGGCTGAGGCAGGAGAATCGCTTGAACCCAGGAGGTGGTGGTTGTAGTGAGCTGAGATCACGCCACTGCACTCCAGCCCGGGTGACAGAGCAAGACTCTGTCTCAAAATAAATAAATAAAAATAAAATAAAGAGAGGCAGGGATTTGCCAAGGTGACACGGGTCCCGCTGGGATGTACCTGAGCCTACCTGCTCCTGCCCAGCAGATCTAGCCTCTCACGCCTGCCTCAAGAGGTTGGCAGGGCCCCCTAACTCCCACAGGCCCCCCTCCCTCACTGATGGCCCCCAGTATTATTCAGAGCAACAGCCTGCAGCCAACAGAGCTTACCTGACCACTGGTGGGCGGAGCTTCAAAAGGCAACTCACCTGAGAGGGATACCTTTTGTCCTTGCTCTAGGGGAGAGAAGACAGGCTTCTGGCTTGTTAAAGTTTGCATTTGGGTTTTTCTGCGTCTTCCAGTAGCCGGACCTGATGCTGTCTGATGTGGGGTTTGGGGTCCTAGCCTTGGTCCCTGCCCCGGCATCAGACCCCAGTGATGGCTGGGGATGCAGGTGGGGGGACACAGACGGGGGGGGGGGGTTGCTGTCCCAGCTGCCCTCTCACCCAGGCCTTTTGTCTCCACCAAAACTGCTGATTTGGTCATTTTCTCGCTGACAAAGGCTGTGACCAGCCAGCAGCCTCACAAGAGGAGTTTTCCTGGGAAGAGGGAGTTGGGAATAATTTTCAAGCCAGAGCAGAATTCTCTGCGGCTTGCCATGGGCCAGCCATGGGAGAGACGGGCTGCTTTGCACGTGGCCGTCTCTCTGGTATACTGTTTACTTGTTTGTTTATTATTTTACTTTTTGGAGGTAGAGACAGAGCCTTGCTCTGTTGCCCAGGCTGGTCTCAAACTCCTGTTCTCAAGTGATCCTCCCACCTCGGCCTCCCAAAGCGCTGGGATTACAGGCTCCAGGCACCACGCCTGGTCTGTTTTTATTTTATTTTTTATTTTTCATTTTAGAATCTGTGGGATAGCCACAGAAAGATATTTTTGCAGTGTCTGAACTGCTGTTTACAAGGAATTTGTTATAATGTGGTGAAACACTTATGTATGTACGTCCACCAGGAAAATACGCTTCATAAAACTGTGGGCACGGAGCCGGGCTCAGTGGCTCAAGCCTATCATCCCAGCGAGTGGGAGGGCTGAGGTGGGAGGATCGCTTGAGCCCAGGAGTTGGAGGCTACAGTGAGCTATGATCGTGCCATTGCACTCCAGCCTGAGCAACAGCAAGATCCCATCTTTATTTTACTTTTTAAAAAAATTGTGGGCTAGGTATGGTGGCTCATGCCTGTAATCCCAACACTTTGGGAGGCCAAGACAGGAGGGTTGCTTGAGCCCCCAAGTTCGAGACCAGCCTGGGCAACATGATGAAACCCCGTCTTTTCTAAAAACACAAAAAGTTAGCCAGGCATGATGGCAAGCGCCCGTAATCTCACCAACTCAGGAGGCTGACGCAGGAGAATCCCTTGAACCCCGGAGGCGGAGGCTGTCGTGAGCCTAGATCACACCACTGCACTCCAAACACAGAGTGAGACCTTGTCTTAAAAAAAACTGGTAACTGGCTGGGCCCAGTGGCTCACACCTGTAATCCCAGCACTTTGGGAGGCCAAGGCAGGCAGATCATGAGGTCAGGAATTCTAGACCAGCCTGGCCAACGTGGTGAAACCTCATCTCTACTAAAAATAAAAAATTAGCAAGGCGTGGTGACACACGCCTGTAATCCCAGCTACTTGGGAGGCTGAACAGGAGAATTGCTTGAACTGGGGAGGCGGAGGTTGCAGTAAGCCTAGATCCCACCACTGCGCTCCAGCCTGGGCGACAGAGCAGGACTTCCTCTCAAAA